ATCCCTGGGTGTAATGTCATAGTCCTCGTTACCTGCAGTAGATAACTGGATCCCTGGGTGTAATGTCATAGTCCTCGTTACCTGCAGTAGATAACTGGATCCCTAGGTGTAATAGTCATAGTCCTCGTTACCTGCAGTAGATAACTGGATCCCTAGGTGTAATGTCATAGTCCTCGTTACCTGCAGTAGATAACTGGATCCCTAGGTGTAATGTCATAGTCCTCGTTACCTGCAGTAGATAACTGGATCCCTAGGTGTAATGTCATAGTCCACGTTACCTGCAGTAGATAACTAGATCCCTAGGTGTAATGTCATAGTCCTCGTTACCTGCAGTAGATAACTGGATCCCTAGGTGTAATGTCATAGTCCTCGTTACCTGCAGTAGATAACTAGATCCCTAGGTGTAATGTCATAGTCCTCGTTACCTGCAGTAGATAACTGGATCCCTAGGTGTAATGTCATAGTCCTCGTTACCTGCAGTAGATAACTGGATCCCTAGGTGTAATGTCATAGTCCTCGTTACCTGCAGTAGATAACTGGATCCCTGGGTGTAATGTCATAGTCCACGTTACCTGCAGTAGATAACTGGATCCCTGGGTGTAATGTCATAGTCCTCGTTACCTGCAGTAGATAACTGGATCCCTAGGTGTAATGTCATAGTCCTCGTTACCTGCAGTAGATAACTGGATCCCTGGGTGTAATGTCATAGTCCGTGTTACCTGCAGTAGATAACTGGATCCCTAGGTGTAATGTCATAGTCCTCGTTACCTGCAGTAGATAACTAGATCCCTAGGTGTAATGTCATAGTCCTCGTTACCTGCAGTAGATAACTGGATCCCTAGGTGTAATGTCATAGTCCTCGTTACCTGCAGTAGATAACTAGATCCCTAGGTGTAATGTCATAGTCCTCGTTACCTGCAGTAGATAACTGGATCCCTAGGTGTAATGTCATAGTCCTCGTTACCTGCAGTAGATAACTAGATCCCTAGGTGTAATGTCATAGTCCGTGTTACCTGCAGTAGATAACTGGATCCCTGGGTGTAATGTCATAGTCCTCGTTACCTGCAGTAGATAACTGGATCCCTAGGTGTAATGTCATAGTCCTTGTTACCTGCAGTATATAACTGTATCCCTGGGTGTAATGTCATAGTCCGTGTTACCTGCAGTAGATAACTGGATCCCTGGGTGTAATGTCATAGTCCTCGTTACCTGCAGTAGATAACTGGATCCCTAGGTGTAATGTCATAGTCCTCGTTACCTGCAGTAGATAACTAGATCCCTAGGTGTAATGTCATAGTCCTCGTTACCTGCAGTAGATAACTGATCCCTAGGTGTAATGTCATAGTCCTCGTTACCTGCAGTAGATAACTAGATCCCTAGGTGTAATGTCATAGTCCTCGTTACCTGCAGTAGATAACTGGATCCCTGGGTGTAATGTCATAGTCCTCGTTACCTGCAGTAGATAACTGGATCCCTAGGTGTAATGTCATAGTCCGTGTTACCTGCAGTAGATAACTGGATCCCTGGGTGTAATGTCATAGTCCTCGTTACCTGCAGTAGATAACTGGATCCCTAGGTGTAATGTCATAGTCCTCGTTACCTGCAGTATATAACTAGATCCCTAGGTGTAATGTCATAGTCCGTGTTACCTGCAGTAGATAACTGCATCCCTAGGTGTAATGTCATAGTCCTCGTTACCTGCAGTAGATAACTGGATCCCTAGGTGTAATGTCATAGTCCTCGTTACCTGCAGTAGATAACTGGATCCCTAGGTGTAATGTCATAGTCCTCGTTACCTGCAGTAGATAACTGATCCCTAGGTGTAATGTCATAGTCCTCGTTACCTGCAGTAGATAACTGGATCCCTGGGTGTAATGTCATAGTCCTCGTTACCTGCAGTAGATAACTGGATCCCTGGGTGTAATGTCATAGTCCTCGTTACCTGCAGTAGATAACTGGATCCCTAGGTGTAATGTCATAGTCCTCGTTACCTGCAGTAGATAACTGGATCCCTAGGTGTAATGTCATAGTCCTCGTTACCTGCAGTAGATAACTGGATCCCTGGGTGTAATGTCATAGTCCTCGTTACCTGCAGTAGATAACTGGATCCCTGGGTGTAATGTCATAGTCCTCGTTACCTGCAGTAGATAACTAGATCCCTGGGTGTAATGTCATAGTCCTCGTTACCTGCAGTAGATAACTGGATCCCTAGGTGTAATGTCATAGTCCTCGTTACCTGCAGTAGATAACTGGATCCCTAGGTGTAATGTCATAGTCCTTGTTACCTGCAGTAGATAACTGGATCCCTGGGTGTAATGTCATAGTCCTCGTTACCTGCAGTAGATAACTGGATCCCTGGGTGTAATGTCATAGTCCTCGTTACCTGCAGTAGATAACTGGATCCCTAGGTGTAATGTCATAGTCCTCGTTACCTGCAGTAGATAACTGGATCCCTGGGTGTAATGTCATAGTCCGTGTTACCTGCAGTAGATAACTGATCCCTAGGTGTAATGTCATAGTCCTCGTTACCTGCAGTAGATAACTGGATCCCTAGGTGTAATGTCATAGTCCGTGTTACCTGCAGTAGATAACTGGATCCCTGGGTGTAATGTCATAGTCCTCGTTACCTGCAGTAGATAACTGGATCCCTGGGTGTAATGTCATAGTCCTTGTTACCTGCAGTAGATAACTGGATCCCTAGGTGTAATGTCATAGTCCTCGTTACCTGCAGTAGATAACTAGATCCCTAGGTGTAATGTCATAGTCCTCGTTACCTGCAGTAGATAACTAGATCCCTGGGTGTAATGTCATAGTCCTTGTTACCTGCAGTAGATAACTGGATCCCTAGGTGTAATGTCATAGTCCTCGTTACCTGCAGTAGATAACTGGATCCCTAGGCGTAATGTCATAGTCCTCGTTACCTGCAGTAGATAACTGGATCCCTGGGTGTAATGTCATAGTCCGTGTTACCTGCAGTAGATAACTGGATCCCTGGGTGTAATGTCATAGTCCTCGTTACCTGCAGTAGATAACTGGATCCCTGGGTGTAATGTCATAGTCCTCGTTACCTGCAGTAGATAACTGGATCCCTGGGTGTAATGTCATAGTCCTCGTTACCTGCAGTAGATAACTGGATCCCTGGGTGTAATGTCATAGTCCTCGTTACCTGCAGTAGATAACTAGATCCCTAGGGTGTAATGTCATAGTCCTCGTTACCTGCAGTAGATAACTGGATCCCTGGGTGTAATGTCATAGTCCTCGTTACCTGCAGTAGATAACTAGATCCCTGGGTGTAATGTCATAGTCCTCGTTACCTGCAGTAGATAACTGGATCCCTAGGTGTAATGTCATAGTCCTCGTTACCTGCAGTAGATAACTGGATCCCTGGGTGTAATGTCATAGTCCTCGTTACCTGCAGTAGATAACTGGATCCCTAGGTGTAATGTCATAGTCCGTGTTACCTGCAGTAGATAACTGGACCCCTGGGTGTAATGTCATAGTCCTTGTTACCTGCAGTAGATAACTGGATCCCTGGGTGTAATGTCATAGTCCTCGTTACCTGCAGTATATAACTGGATCCCTGGGTGTAATGTCATAGTCCGTGTTACCTGCAGTAGATAACTGGACCCCTAGGCGTAATGCTATAGTCCTCGTTACCTGCAGTATATAACTGGATCCCTGGGTGTAATGTCATAGTCCGTGTTACCTGCAGTAGATAACTGGACCCCTGGGTGTAATGTCATAGTCCTTGTTACCTGCAGTAGATAACTGGATCCCTGGGTGTAATGTCATAGTCCTTGTTACCTGCAGTAGATAACTGGACCCCTGGGTGTAATGTCATAGTCCGTGTTACCTGCAGTAGATAACTGGATCCCTGGGTGTAATGTCATAGTCCTTGTTACCTGCAGTAGATAACTGGATCCCTGGGTGTAATGTCATAGTCCGTGTTACCTGCAGTAGATAACTGGATCCCTGGGTGTAATGTCATAGTCCTCGTTACCTGCAGTAGATAACTGGACCCATGGGTGTAATTTCATAGTCCTCGTTACCTGCAGTATATAACTAGATCCCTAGGTGTAATGTCATAGTCCGTGTTACCTGCAGTAGATAACTGGACCCATGGGTGTAATTTCCTTACCTCCTGTAGATGATGATGATGATGATAACGATGTCTATGACTGTCTATGACAGTTCCGCGACTCCTATAACTCCAACTGACGTAGACACTGATATGATTACTGTCTTCGGAAATAGAGAAGCAAACATTTTTTTTAGTTTAGGCATATTCGCATATGTTGTATTCTTTCCAGGTGAACGATAAACTTGCCTTTGCATGTGTGTGTGACGCGTGCTTCTGGTAAGGTAAGATACGCCCACCTTTGCGTGACGCGTGCTTCTGGTAAGGTAAGATACGCCCACCTTTACGCGAACGCTCTATTTGATAGTGATACATTTAAACATAACATCTGAATCATACCGAAGCCGATATTACTTATAACATGTAAGTAGCTTTTGTCACTTTATGCATTTCGTGTCATAAGTAGTGCGATCCGCACAAAATCCCGCGAGGATCTTCAAGGGTCTCACCATGTTCGTATCCGATGTTGTACGCCGCACTCAGCACTTTTCAAGCCATATGGCGGCGCTCTGTAAATATTTGAATCTGGACCAGACAATCCAGTGATCCTCACCATGAGCATCGATCCCCGCAATTGGGATATGATGAAAGTTGTCAACCCAGTCCGCGTGCCAGACCACCCGATCCTGTTTGTCGCTTCTTACGACAACCATGGGTTGCTGAAGACCAGTTCTAACCCGGATCTTCATATGTAAGTAGTTTAAGAACAGGGATCTGGAGTTATTACGTTTAGGGGGGTTAATATTTTACAGAGCGTCCAGAAAAACTGGTCATGCAATAGAATAAACTGTTGCTTAGGGCATCTTTCTGGAAATATTAACGACAGTAATTATACATATTGTGAAACTTCTATCACGCAGACCTTTAACGAATTGTCATCGTTTTCAGTATTTCTCGAAACAAGCTGTTTTGAAAACAGTTTCTGAATGTCTTCTTCTTTGACTGAAGAGATTGCTTTCTGTATGTCACTGGTGGTTTCCTGGGTACTGTCACAGAGAACGCCGAAGGAGATGGCATTCTTCGCCCTGTTTAGAAATGGAAAGATTGGTTACGTTTACTTGTTGATCAAATTTCGCCAAAAGAGATAAACAATAGCGGATTCTTAATATTTATGCATGTGACCTTTGACCGATTCCAAAACGAGGTCATACCTGCAAATATGGCAGCTGATCACTGCTCTGTACCGCAGTGTACATCTGATGCGAGATACGACAATTCACTTTCGTTTCACACATTTCCGAAGGCTGAAGATGTGCGAAGGAGATGGATAATTGCCATTCGTCGGGACGAAGGACCCTTCTTTACGGTAGGTTAAAATTTTCATTCGGGATTTTCGAAATTAAATCTCAAGAATTTGAGTCGTCCAAACAGCAACGAATATATTATCGGAGCTGCAGTTGTCAAACAGATATTAAGGCTAAACAATATTTTGTCTCAAACAACTACATGATAGCATTTTGCATGTCAAATTTGTTTTCAACTATACTTTCGTGTTACTAAATTACCAGGACGATTGCATACATTAGCCTATTTGAAACAATGGCAGATGGACCAAGGAAGAATTATTATAGAATCACTTATATACACAACTATTGATTGTAACAATTCGAAAAAAGAGATATTTATTTAAATCTTGGAGCTCAAAATCTATGACAGTAGACTTATTCTAATTTCACTTGTATTTAGATCACCAGGAAGAGTGTTGTTTGCTCGAAGCATTTCCGGCCTGAGGACTACAAGTACACACCGGTAAGGAGGACCCACAAGCAAGGATCTGTGCCATCCATATTTCCTTGGAACTTGGAAAATATGAAGTTCCAGCCATCGGTCATCAAAACAAGTAATTTCATGGGAAAGGTCAGTTTAAGAGTGAGAAACAAATTGGTAGATGTGTAAGCACAACTTCAGTTCAAATGCTCTTTAACTAAAGATGTCTTTCTTTTTTGTGGTATCCATTAATTTAAAGTATTTCCATCTAATTAAATTTCAGATGAAGGATTCATAATCACTGATGACCCTCATACCTCATGACAAATGCACAAAACAAACTTGTTAATATAAATTAATAAATGTGATTACTACTAAATCTGTAATATTTCATCGACTGTATATTTTTTTAATACACAGATCTTTTACATTTTTATAGATATCAATGTTTTGAAATATACACAGGTCGTAAAAATGAATTATGATATGCTGAAATTGTGAGTACCTCCCTTTCAACAATGCCAGAATTTCTAATAAGCAGTGAACTAGGTCAATATTACATGGTTTTGTTTCTGAATGATTAACAACAATACACAAAGTGTTATGAACAGAGAACATGTTTTAATGTATATATGAAATATATATTATATTCTGATATCAGACTGATAATTTTTTTTCTTGACAATGCTATGAACCCAACTTACAGTTATATTGTGTGGCGAGTCATTTTTCTTCATGGAACGGTAACAACGAGCTGCTATTACGCAAGATGTGTCATCACATGATGCTGCCAAAATATACAAGACAAGGGAATAATATTACACGAAATAACATCATTTGAATTTTACATAGATCTAATAACTATCTGACGGTTACGGCCTAGGTTATTGACATGATGGAACTTAGGTTAAAGTAGTTCAAAAACACCTTTTCAGTTGCACTTCATAATAATTAACGTATGTCCCGTAATTTTAAGGGTGAAGTCAATATGATAACATGTCAAGAGGAAAATAAGCCTACTTCAATCATAAATAAGCAATGACATAATGACATTGACAGCCAGTGCGATCGTTACTGTACCATTTACAACATTGGAAATGGATGAATGAAACTTACTTCGCAAATTATAAATGAACCCTTCACTATAATATTTGAAGCCTTTGTTCAGTTGGGAAGTCCCGGCACTTCTGCTATTCATTTGTATATAAGTCTCCACGAAGGAAAATGTGAGAGACGGGAACGCCGTCAGATCGCTTCCGGATTTCGTCGCCATCACGATTCGCTGATTACGCGGGTATGACCTCGTTTTGATATTGGTCAAAGGTCACATGCATAAATATTAAGAGTGGCCTATACACCCAGACCTTCGACACATTTATCAGATCAGATGTAGCCCATATAAAATATATTTTTATTCATTGAATAAGAATCAAACACCCCGTGAATACCCAGGTTGAAAAAGGCTTTAGGCAAGCACGACGAATGACTAACAGGATCAGGCTGCCAGACATGGTGGTTGCATGTCATCGTAACAAATTGCGTAGATCGATGCACATGTTCAAACAAACAAACAGAACTACTCAAACAATAATAACAAGTCATAAAATGAACAGATGGCCGACGAAAAACCGTCACAAAGAGGCTAACGAGAAATTCATTTTCATTCAACATGCAACAGTTAGTGCATTCTTCATAATGACATGGAACAGTTAGTGCATCCTTCATTATGACATGGATTTGTAACTTTGTAAGATATAAATTCCAATACTATACCTTTTATCACAACAAAACATGATCTGATATTTGTGCTGTTTAAAATGTGATATGACACATAAAATTAGTATTTGCAAGGAAACGCCGGGTTATTAAACAAAGATATTCTTCCAAATATGTTGTCAGATGATATTAAAGACACAACACATACTGTAGTAGTTTCTGGTATCTAAGGAAACCAGATTTCTTTCATTTACAACCCTAAAAATCCCATCCAATCAGGTCTATGCCTATTTCTCTATTACTGCACTTTCAAAAAGAAACTTTCACAAATTACGTTACGTGTGAGACTGAGGAAGGACGTGGGGGAGGTTGTGGTGGCATATGTGATCCTTGGCGAATGTGGTTAAACTCGCAACGACATCGTCGACATCTGCGGATGACAACGCCGTCTTGAAGTGGATGGTATAGATATCTGGATATAAATACAGAACGGGTATATATAATGTTGTAGCCAGGGATATGGTGTTATGAATCGTTAACACAATGGCACAAGCTAGAGATGATAAGTATGTTTACACTGCAATGGGAAAGACATTGTGAAAATTTTTACTAAACACATGACTATACCATAATGCTATTGTGTTACCGTATGTATATGTTAATAAGTTTACACAAGGTATTAAATCCGTTACATAGTTACCTTACTACTTTAATCCTACCTTCTGTTACCTTATCAATAGTGTAACAGGCATAAACTCAAAAGACTTTCTCAATTGTCACCTGATGGAGTAAGTTAGTGACAAAGTTTTGTTTTACGCCACGTTTAGCAATATCCCGGTAATATCACGGCGGGGGACACCAGAAATGGGTTAGTGTGACCAGCTAACACTTTAACCACATGGCTACCCCGCCGCCCCTCCTGATGAAGGAAGACGTTGCTGTGCGAGGTCCTTACAAACAATTAGGCAGTAGTCCATAAAGCATCATATCTTCATGACTACAAAACTTGATAAACATTGATGAATTCACAACCTTCATTAGTGTGAGAAATACGAATTATCAAGGATATTCTGGTACTTGTTCCACTGTGCACAACGACCATCGCAACACTTTAAATCTAACGAATAGATTTAAGATTGACAAAACGTTATTACATGCCTCCTGCATCCTCAGTTGTTACATTTACAGAGCACTGCCCCAATCTGACATACATTGAAATGCAACACGTACTTTTATGTTGTCAGTCTTGAATACATACCTGATGGACGTATTGTTGGAGGCATGCTCGATGGGCCTGTTTTAGGGTGTTTGAGGAGTTTCTTTGTCGAACTTGTTTGTCTGGCTGTGTGATCAGATCGAACATTTGCACTTGTGTTTATTTCCATCGGCGTTGAATGACTAACTGGCACTACTGATGTTGTTGAACATGTTGTCGTTGGCGTTGCTGTTGTGACTTGAGGGGTAGTTACAGATGTAGACCGTGTAGTCACGGTGCTTGTTCTGCGGATAGCAGATGTGGGAGGGTGTGGTGCTGGGCGTTTCATGAAAGGAAATACCTGGTCCTGTGGACGAATATCTAATTGCAGTAGACCTCGGTGTAGACGATGTCGAACCTTGTTGAGGTCTTTGTAGATGACACGGTAGTTGGTGAAGATGCATATGTAGCTTCAAGTTTCATGTTACAGTTGGTCCCAGACCAAGGATGAACACAGATACACAGGAAGGTTGTGTCTTTTGTGACACATGTCCCATTGTTAGAGCACGGGATGCCCATGCACGGGTCTATCGTGGTGGAACACAATGGACCAGTCAAACCAGACGCACAGATACAGGTGACTTGACCATCTGTCACCAAACAAGTTGATCCCTGACTACACTGACTGTTTGCACAAAGGTCAACAGCCACATCACATCGCTGACCGGTCCACCCGTGCGGACAGGAGCAGGTGTAGCCGTAGAAGTGGTCAGTGCAACTGCCCCCATTTAAACATGGCTTCCAGGTACAGTTATCAACGAAATCTCCACAAACACTTCCTGTCCAGTTGCCGGGACACGCACAGCGGAATCCGCCATCGTAATTGACACATGTGCCGTTGTTGAGACACTGCGGTTTGAGGCACTCATTGACGTCAATGTCGCAGTCGTGGCCTGTCCAGTAGCTGCTGCAGGTACACTTGTACCCTCCTGGAACGTCCACACACGTCGCATTGTTCTGACAAGGTCCGGCCGAACATTCATCAATTTGTGTCTGGCACTGTTGTCCGGTGTATCCAGCTGGGCAGTGACATCTGTAGCCCTCGTTAGTGTTGGAGCAGGTTCCCCCGTTACCACACGGACTGGGTGGAGCACAGGCATCTTGTCTGTACTGACAGGTCAACCCCTTCCATCCAGGTCTACAGCTACAGTTATATCCGCCGTCATAGTTATAACATGAACTGCCGTGGACGCAAATACCAAGTAAACATTCATCAATGTCCTCGTCACACTTCTGTCCCTTCCATCCATCCATACACTCACACTGGTAGCTGCCGTTGGAGTTTCTGCATCCTGTGGAATGATCACAAAGGTTCAGTTTACACTCATCGACATCTTGTTCACAATGAGCTCCGGTCCAGCCAGACGGACAGACGCACCAGGAACCAGTCTCGTTGCCCTGGCACGTGCCCCCATTGTCACATGAGCCTCCGTGACATGGCCCGATGAAATGTTCGCACATGCTTCCTGACCAGTCCAAGCTACAGATGCAGTGAAAGCTGCCCAGTGAGTTGACACAGGCGCCTTGGTTCAGACATGGTTTTGATAGGCATTCATTTATATCTGTTGAGCAGTTATTCCCCGTCCAGCCTCTAGAACAGTTACAGATGAACCCACCAGGGGTATTGGTACACGTAGCGCCATTCACACAAGCACCTGCCTCACATTCATTGGTTTCTAATTCACAGCGATCTCCATGCCAGGAAGACTCACAGACGCACTGATAGGTGTGTGTTCCGTCAAAACATGTGCCGTTGTTTAGACATGGGTTGTTGTGACAAAAACCGATGAAAGTCTCACATTTAAGTCCGGACCAGCCAGAAGCGCATGCGCAAGTTGAATTATTCGCGTCAGCTTTTATGCAAGTACCACCATACTGACATGTGCTGAGAGTGCATGGATCATTGGACTCCGTACAGAGTGTCCCACCCCACTGGTCGTCACACGCACATTTAAAAGTGGTATGGTTTAGAAAACAACTGCCGCCCGTTTTGACAAGGGTTTGGGGAACATCTGTCAAGTAGTGTTTGACACGTGGTCCCTGTCCAGCCTTCGGGACATGCGCAGACGTACATATCTATGTGGTTAAAACAAGTAGCCCCATTCCTACACTGACCAGGAGGACACACGGGGTTGAGGTCTGTACATCGTTCACCCACCCACTTTGCTGGGCAGGTACAGTTAAATCCACCCTGTTCGTTGCTACATGTTCCACCATTTGCACAAGGAAGTAGCTTACACTCGTCGACATCTTCTGTACAATTGTCCCCTGTCCAACTGGCCGTGCACCCACACACAACTCTCCCCGATGACACTTTACATGTACCCCCATTATAACATGGGTTGGGGTCACACCCGGGGGTATATGTCTCACAGGTCGGCCCTGACCACCCTTGCGAACAACTGCAGGAGAACGTTATAGAGCCACTGACACAGGTACCATTGTTTTTACATGGGTTAGTTGCACACAACGATTGGGTTATGTTACATGATAGCCCTGTCCAGCCTTCGTTGCAGGTGCACGTGTAACTTCCGGCGGAATTTGCGCATGTGCTGTTAACCGGACATACTCGATTCAGTTGAGACTGGGAGCACTCGTCGATGTCCTCTTCACACTTGTCGCCGTGCCAACCTGCAACAGACACAAACCAGAGGGAGCGGGTGAGTGGTCCAGGTAAATGAATGTGGCCATTCCCTGAGTGAGCGAGTGAGTTTAGTTTTACGTCGCACTCATCAATATTCCAGCAATATGGCGGCGGTCTGTAAATAATCAAGTCTGGACCAGACAATCCAGTGATCATCATCATGAGCATCGATCCTCGCAATTGGGACACTATGACATGTGTCAACCAAGTCAGCGAGTCTGACCGCCCGGTCATTAGTTGCCTCTTACGACAAGCATGGGTTACTGAAGTTCAATTCTAACCCGGATCTTCACGGGTTGGGGTACCATGAAGTGCTCCACACATTGTACTTATGCAGTACAGATCACGTCATGAATCCGTAAGAGTACGAAGTGCGTGGGAAAAGACTCTTCATGCACCGGATATAGGGTGTATACATAGTAAATATAGCGTAGATGAGAATGTTGACGCCTATATTCTAGGAAACACCAGTCATGTGTATTTTGTTGGCAAAACAAATAATTCCTTCAACCTTGATACCTTTATACCGTGACATTCTACCGTGACCGGACTTCTTCCCTCGCGTTCTGTCGGACTGGTTGGGTCATAGGCGAACACATGCATGTACAGGAACCTATCACGACAGTATATACCTTTGTTGCAGTGAATGATCCCAGTCGTGTGGTCGCAGTAGGAGTTAATGTAGGTGGTGGTGCAGTTGATGGAGCAGTCATGGCCGTAGTAGTTGGGGGTGCACCCGACGTTGACGTCTAACACTAGCCTGAAGGTATACAAAACATTTAGCTTCGTTAGTGTTCGACTTGGGTAACAAATTAGTTTTCGGGGTTAACGAGTTTCTGTTCCAAAGAAAGTTTTTCTTAGGCTTGTATGTTAAACCGCGTTGTGGCTTTGAGTATGTCAGTGACGTTTAGGCCACTTTAAACAGTATATGACGTCACAACAGCTTTTTGAGGAGGGTGAGCCTCATGTGACGCTGATCGTACACGTTTCCACGATACTCATAGACATGTTGATGGCTGTAACCTAAGATCAGTAGATTCTGGTACGACCAAGGAAAGCAAATCTGCAGTATCTTCGATAACTGGGCAATCCGTGCAGCTTCCACTAAGGATAATTGCGATGCTGATAACTACATTAGAAACGCAGTAATGCAGTGCACTGCAGGCACACATACATAATGATCGAATATAACTGTAACGTCTAATCAAATCAATAATACTGATGGCGAAGGTATTTATATGTGAAATGTCCATACATTCAGTTATGCCGAATATTTATATTTGTCGAAGCTTACCCTTTCCTACGTTTGCCATATATATTTCAAGTTTCTATTAGACTTACTTAAAGGACGATTCAAATATATTATGTACCGGGCAAAAGAAAGTTATCACCGACTTCACTTGACCAAAAAATAGAATGTGAGATTTATGATAGTTATTTTACAAACAGAATTTTTTTCCCAATATTTTGACTGAAAATGCATTGTAAAATTGCAAAATTAAAAATTACACAAATCAGAGTTCATTCAAAAATTGCATCAACAGCGAGTGTGAGCACCCCGGGCATCCATACACGCCAACAGACGTCTCACTGACGTCGTCAGTCGGCGGATGAAGTCAGCAGGAACCCTGTTCCATAAGTCCAAGAGAGCCTGTTCCAGTTCCTGTCGGTTCGCTGGGGTTGGTACACGGTGTCTCAGCTGACGATCGCCATTTCTGGTGTCCCCCGCCGTGATATTGCTGGAGGTGGTACACGCTGTCAGTCAGTCAGTCACCTGACGATCAAGATGATCCCAGAGATGTTCAATGGTGTTTATGGAGAACGTGCCGGTCAAGGCAATCCGTTGACTTTAACATTGTGCAGGTATTCCCGAACAATTCTGGCGGTTTGAGGCCTTACGTTGATGTGCTGCGAACTGACTCCTTTTGGCTGTTGCCGAATAAAGGGCACCACAAAAAGTTTATCCCTTTATATTCCTGTAAAGCTGGGCATTGAGATTACCTCGGATGATAACCATACCCCATACCAGGACGCATCTTTCATCGAACGGATAAACTTCTTGAACGCGGGTTGGCGCCAGTTGCTATCCTCTACGTCGAAAAACTCTAACTCTGCCATCGTTTCTGAACAGACAGAACCGACTTCCATCTGTAAAGAGCCCTCTCTCGCTGCCACCGACGTTGAGTTAGTAATCATTGCGGTCTTCGTTGACGGTGTAGACGGGTCGAGACCATTCCACGGAAGGGGCAGTCGCCATACCAAGTCGTCGAAGGACTGTTCGCCTGCTGTTCCGAAAGGTCGATATGCCGGATGTAGAGGTCTTCGGACGGTGTCGTGACTCTTGGTCTCCTCGATCTTGGGGGTCTTGAGTCTGGCCTGTTTGCTGGCAGCGGTTTATTAAGTTGCTGATGGTGGCCTGGCTGCAGTTGAGGGTTCTTGCCAGCTGACGTTGTTAAGCCCCCTTATTGGCCATACCGATCGCCCTGCCTAGGTGCGCTTGCGCAAGTCTTGGCATATTCGTGGTGTTTATTTTGGTTACTGCATGCTTGCTCTGTCCAACATCGGTATTTATGCCACAATCACGCACGTGCACTTAGACCAATGTCACAAAATTACGTTTTTCAAGCATTGAAAAATGCAGGATTCGTTCGCAGTTTTCTGACAGCTGTGTTGATATCGGTATCATGTTGCGTTTTGGCGAATGTTTTCTGCATTGTTTCATACCTGTACCAGCGGGTTTTTTTTTTTTTATATATTTTTATACAATTACTTTAAAAGTGATAACTTTCTTTTGCCCGGTAGTTTACATGCGCGTATTCCCTTTAAGATTGGTTTAAGAGATCACTGTCAGTGACATACACAGTACTCGTCCTCGTGCCAGTCAACGTCAGCGAGACCACATCAGTGGAGTTCGTTGTCAAGGGAGTTGTAAGGGTGGTGTTGAACACGTCAATGGGGACGTCTGAAGAGCCAGTATTACTGTCCATCACGTTTATCAAGAAAGGCGTCCCGGTGCCTTGCTGAAGGAAACAAGTTCCGAATGTTCATGAGAAGGGCGAGACAGTAGGGGGAGAGGAATATGACATCGCCCTTTTTTCTGTCGATCTTTTATTAGCACGTGCCTTGCAGGCCTTAATAATGACGTATCATATTTGCAAATAGGTCATTTTAGAAATCTTAAAACGTTTGTTTATTCTTTGTGTTCTCTTTCACTCACTGGGACAGGATGTCACACTCACAAACACTGGCTCTCACAAACATTGCTTCTCACTCAACTGCCGGCACTCACGAATTAGCACAGTCTTTCTCTTCGTTTACTTACTATCAGCACAAACGCTAAGTCACAAACACAAGCAGAGGCTCGCGTCCACAAGGGTCAGTGTTAAAGACTCACACGTACCGCCATTTACTCACAGAGACTCTCATACGAGCACAGTTATTGCAAGGGTAACTTACACGTCATTGGTATTCACTTACTGGGTGCCAGTCAGGTAGGTGCAGAACAACGGGGTTCAGCGTTTGGTTGCCTATGTGGTCGTCGAAGGTGACGTTGTTGGCGTCGTATGTGACATCGGTGGCGATGTACGCACCGCTGCATTTACCACTGACGAAACTGTAAACACAGACGGAAGATAACTATGGAATCCTAGAAGGGACATTGTTGCTATGTCGCATTGTCGCGTTGTCAAAAAACAAGCAAAGTGAGGCAAAATAAACCAAAACGCAACACGCGACATTTCGCCCATTTGTCGCATTGTCGCGATGTCGCGTGTCGCGTTTTGAATAATATATTTTTCTATTCCTCCAAAGGGCGACACACGACATAGCGACAATTTTCAAGGTCACGCGTTGTCGCGCGTCGCGCTATCTAAGATGTGTAAAGAAGCATAGCGACAATTTTCAAGGTCAAAATATGTCGCGTTGTCGCGCGTCGCCCTATCTAAGATGTGTAAAAAGAAGCCTAACTTAGTCTAAAAATTCACTAAAACGCCACACGCGACAATGCGAAATGGGCGAAATGTCGCGATGTCGCGTGTCGCGTTTTGTTTAATTTTGCTTGTATTTGAGAGGGCGACAACGCGGCGATGTCCCTTCCAGGATTCCATAGATAACACACTGAGACGTCGCAACATACCAGAGACCACCCGACCTGTTCTACCCCTGAAAGGTTATGAGGAATGGAATCCGAGATAGTTACTTCAGTGCAGTGGGGATGTTGTGACTCAGACGTTGGCGTTCAGCGTTGACGACGCAGGTTTGATAATCGTTATTGGTATAAATTAAGAAAATTGTAGTGTTAACCGCAGAAATATTTCTGGAATTTTGCATAATAGGCCTATCAAATGGCTGCAGTAACTAATGCATCACACGCTCCACTCCAAAGTGTACAACAACCTACTCAGCTTTACAACAAATCGAAAATATGAGAAACCAAAGTAGCCCACCTGACCACTGGGTAGCCTAGTGGTAGACTAGTGTTAGACTATGTTGTATGTTCATCCCCAGGCTTACCTCTCATCACTGATCTAAATATCTGTGACTTCTCACCGCTGTACTCAGATGTGCACTGCTCAGTAACATATAGCTTAGCTAAAATAACTAAGGGATCAGAGACAGGCACCCAAAGCACCGCTAAAACAACTCACAGCTCATGCTCTAAACCAAAGCGATATAATAAAAAACCGGTGAATTCCTCCAAAAGTTGGATATAACTCAGATAAATAATCTCACAGTGAAAACAAACGCTACTTGGATTGATCAAGCTGACCCAGTAACAGTCAATGACATCACTAACGATGTCGCGCACGTACTTACGGACGCTGCACGGAAAACCTTCGGAGTCAACATAGAGAATTTACGGAGAAGGACCGAACATGTAAACCTTGGTTCGGAGCAGAATGTTATAAAGATCGTAAGATATTTCATAAAGCAAAACGACGTTTACGAAAACACTACTCCATTTATAATAAACGCGTATTTAGGTTTGAATAAAAAAATTATAAAAAGTGTATGGATAGACATATAAAGCGGTACAAAGAGGAAATCGGTAAAATGTTTAGGGAGACCCATAAGCACTCTCCTAAACAATTCTGGAAACTTTAAATGGTGATAAGATTGATAGCACTGATAACATAGATATTGATGTATTATACAAATTCTTCAAATCACTTAATGATTCGGAACCGGAGGAATCAGAACTCGACGCAAGCGGAAGTAATAGTCAACTAAATTGTGAAATACTGAATAGCAATATTACAGAGGGGGAAATTAGAGTAGCCACAAAGCAACTGAAACGATGTAAGGCATCTGGAATAGACTTGATTGAAAACGAATATTTATAAATTGATAGTTGCGATTTATTAACCCCCTTGTTAGTCGAACTTTTTAATTTGGTATTTGACAAAAAACACTGCCCGATTCTTGGCTTACTGGAATAATTAAACCAATTCACAAAAAAAGGAGATACTTCGGATCCAATCTCGTATAGACCTATTGTCATCCTAAGTTGTTTGGGGAAACTATTTACAAAAATATTGAACAACCGCCTATCAAACTTTCTAGATGAAAAAAATATATTAACATCAGCACAAGCTGGATTTAGAAAATCATTCTCGACTGCCGACAACTTGTTTGTTATCTATAACCTCGAGCATGCATATATTGAAAAGTAAAAAACAAAAATTATATTGTGCTTTTATAGACTTCACCAAGGGTTTTGACACAGTTTGGAGAGTAGGTCTGTGGAAGAAAATGCAAACTATTGGTATTGAAGGGAGGTTTCTGACACTTGTAAAAGCAATGTACAATGGCATCAAATCTTTCGTGCAATATAATAATAGTGTATCGGCCTACTTAATGTGCAATAATGGCGTGAGACAGGGAGAAAATCTATCACCTTTACTATTTTCAATCTTTGTTAATGATATTGAATCACACCTCCTTTCTTCTGACTGTAATGGTGTTAGAATAGATCATGTTCAAGATAAAGATATTCAACTCTTCATACAACTTTTAATTTTACTATATGCAGATGATACCGTCTTATTCGATAAATCGAATCATATTGTGATACATGGAAATTAACTGTCAATATAGTAAAACCAAAATTCTTATCTTTGGGAGTGGACCAGCAAACACCTCAAAATTGAACTTTTATAACAACAGCAAAGACTTGATATCGTAGATACATACAACTACCTAGGCATCATGTTTCATAGAAATAGAAGACTAGTCACAAGTATCAAGGATCTCGGTGACAGTGCCACTAAAGCCATGTTCAGTCTGTTAAAAAAGCACGAAATATCGACTTGCCGTAGGGCTGTTTGTTGTTTGCCTTTGATTCAGTGATATTTCCTGTACTCATTTAATGCTCAGAAATTTGGTGTATTGAAAATGTGGAATGTCTGGAAAAAAACATCTAAATTTCTACGACTTATTACAATTCCACACCTCGATTTATGCTCTATGGGGAGCTCGGCAGATTCCCAATCACGATAAATATCTATAAACGCCTCATTACCTTTTGGCATAAACTTACCAACCACAATGGAGTCAATAAACTTTCACAACTTATTTATAATTACTTGATAGTGGAAAATGAAAGCGGAAAATTACTAGAAAACCCATGGCGAATATCAATTCCATTACTAAGATTTATTACATCAAATCACAGTCTCCCAATAGAAACTGGCCGCTGGGAGAACATCCCACGCATTGATAGAACTTGTCAACTCTGTCAATCTGCATCTATTGCTGATGAATTTCATTATATTTTTGAAAGTCAAAATCTCTGTGATGCCATCCCCCAAAACAAAATATCCAAGTCTGCAAAATCTTGTTAAATTATTCACAACTAATGACACTAAAGAAATTGTCAATTTATCAAAATTTATTTCAAGAGTATCAGACCTAATAAGAAATATAAACTGAGACTAGTTTTTGTATTCATATATCATGTATATACTATATACTATTATATATCTTTGCATTTGCTTGATATATAAAATATTTGTAATCGCTTTTGTACCACCAACCGTGGTTATTTGAGAATAAAATGATTGATTGGGTCCCAGACTGAAGATCCAGACGCGAACCTACTTTTTCATAGGGTCACAGACAGAATACAATCCACCAACCCATGGGGATCCCTAACGCCCTTGGTTTCACCGTGCGAAGTATAGAACTCACCTGTCTTGACAGAGAATGAACTGTACGAAGTATAGAACTCACCAGTCTAGACAGAGACTGACTGACTGACTGAGTTTGGTTTTACGCCGCTTTTAGCAATATTCCAGCAACATCACGGCGGGGGGACACCAGAAATGGGCTTCACACATTCTACTCATGTGGGGATTCGAACCCGGGTCTTCGGATTGACGAGCCAACGCTTTAACCACTAGGCTACCCCACCGCCCCTATAGACAGAGAATGAACCGTGCAAAGTATTGAACTCACCTGCCTTGACAGAGCATGAACCCAGTGAAGTATAAAACTCACCTGCCTAAACAGAGAATAAACTGTACAGAATAGTATAGAACTCAGCTGCGTACACAAGGAATGAACTGTGTGAAGTATAGAACTCACCTGCCTATACAGAGAATGAATTGTGTGTCGCACTGGTTTGGACACATGTGGCCGAAGGTGGGTAGTTTATTTTCATCGCAGCATCGGTTGTCGTACGTTACTCCTTTGGCGTTGACATACTTTCGGAAATACAGATGCACGTCTACGCTGCACAGACATTCCTGGGGAACGAAAGGGATTTCTTATACATTACACATTTAATCATACATTTAGTGGATTGAAAACAGACGTTTCTGAGTAAATGCTTGTGTGAGTGAGTTTAGGTTTACACCGATTATAGCAATATTCTAGTAATATCGCGGCGGGAGTCACCATAAATGGGCACCACACATTGAATCATGTGGGGAATCGAACCTGAGTTTTCGGCAAGACGAGCGAACGATTTAACCACAAGGCTACCCCACTATATATCTGCCCACAGTGTACAATGTTTGGAAATGAAAAGTACGTTCATCCAGCAGGGGTTAGTGCATACTAAGCTGACAAGTTTGAAAGAAACGCTCGTCTTTTGTTGCACAAGGGTAACTGTCTATACAAATACTTATTGTACTATATATTATGTTAGTGTTGCGACTGCTATCTAATATTTAAAACCTCTTCGTGATCATAACTTACAGATATTTCACAAGAAATGTGAATACATTCTTACCTCAACAACTAATAGACTTGATATAAGCAGTAGACCTACAAGGCCACAAACGGTGAGATATGTGGTGGTAGCGACTGTTATTGTGTGATAACAGCCGTATCAGTGATAAAGATGCTAACAAGTAGAGCGATATGCGTGTTGCAATCTTTGTGCCTGTTGCTGAACCAGGCTATTCGTCCTCACCCCATTGCCAGATGCTCCATTGGTCAGCTTCCCCTTTGTCAGATGCTCCATTGTCAGATGCCTCAATTTGTTGTCAGATGCCCCATTTATTGTGAGGTGCCGCATTAGTCAGATGCCGAATTTGTCAGATGTCCCATTGGTCAGATGCTCCATTTCTTTTCAGATGCACCATTATTTGTCAGATGCCCCATTGG